ATCCGCCTCCCGGGTATCCATTACGTACGCAACGTATCCTGCACATCCCTGTTGAAGGTAACGTCTAGCCCTCACTGCTGAACATATAGCGGGTCCACGCTGCGGCTTCTCGCCATGAATCACTAACTCTCCCCCACCTGGGGTCCTGACTCTCACAAGCTGATGCGCACAATCTATCACCGCCCCATTAGGGCTCAACCAGTCCATGCCTATGATCACCTTGTTCCCACGCAATGGAATGTGAACCAAATCCACCAAGTAGCGCTCCTCGAACAACCGCAATACGCAGTCCCAAAATACCATCGATGCTCGCACCGATCGATCATCAGCAATCTCTACTTCCAAAGGGCAATCCAGCATGCCCGAAGACTCAGGAAACTTCTTGCTAAGCGCAAGGGACACAAACAATCGGGATGCACCCGAGTCGAACAACACTTGGACTGAGATACAGTTCACATGGAACGATCCTAACACATATACATATACCGGGAACATCTCAATATCATAACATCATATAAATAAACAAGAAGGAAAAGAATCATACCCGTCACCACATCGGGTGCTGCGTGTGCCTCCTCGGTGGTCAGCTGGAATGCTCGGCTCCTCACCACTGGAGCCTCTGCCTTGCCCTGTCGGCCATCTGTGATCCACAGGGTCGTTGGGGCTGGCGCCTTTACCGGCGTTGAACCTGTCAACTGGGGGCAATTGGCCTTCTTGTGGCCCCTCTAGTTGCAGTGGAAACACAGTAACTCAGATGTCCGTATCGCCACAACGGGAGTAGTACAATCCCTGCTAAAGTGCCCTGCCTTGCCACACTTGTAGCAGCCTTCTGATCCCGCCGACATGCTCCCTCATGTGTCCTGCCGCATTTCTCGCAGCGGCCCGGTCCCCCTTGGCCTTTCGGCCTCCCATCTGATCCCCGGGACTTCTTTCCTGAAGTCCCAATCACCTGACCCGCCTCTGCTTTCCTCTTCCGAATGTGCTCTAAATCAATCTCCCTCTCCCTCGCCCTGGCAATCATGGACTCCAGGGTAGGGCAAGCTGAAAAGCTAACATGCTCCCGGATGTCAGCCCGAAGCATATCATGATAACAGGTCCTCCTCATATACTCGTCACCTGCATACTGGGGCACCAACAAGGCCCTCTCCCGGAACTTGGCGGTGATCTCCGCCACGGTTCAGTTGTCTGCCTCATATCCAAAAACTCCCTGGCCAGCTGCTGAAGCTCGACCGCCGGCGCAAACTCTACCCTGAACCTGGTCACAAAGTCCGACCAGGTCATAGCCTCGATAGCTGAGGCTCCTAACGAGTCACCCACTGACTCCCACCAGTCTCGAGATCGATCCCGCAAACACCCTGCTACATACCTCACCTTCGACCCCTCAGGGCAGAAACTAGTCAGCTGTGCAGACTCGATGTCTACAATCCATCGTCTGGCGGCAATGGGGTCTTTCACCCTGTGGAAATCCGATGCACCACTGCCCCTGAAGTCCTTAAAGGACAGTGTGCGAGATCCCGACTGGCCGGATGCCATGTCGCTCCTAAACGCCCTGAGGCGATCCTCCATCAGCTCGATGATCCCTTCCTTGATCAACCCGAAGATAATGGGGGTCGACTCAAGGATACCCCTGGAGGGATCCTACTCACTACAAGTTTCCCGGTCTCATCTTGGCCTTCCTTGGTTCGGGTACGGATCCTCTGCTTTCAGTAGTACGGGCCCATACTACCTTCCACATCTATCTGTACCTTCTTCAAGGACTGCCTTAACTCCACCAGGTCCCTTCCACTATCGCTAATCACTGCTACTCTTTATCCTAGGCTTACCCTAGGAAACCTTTGATTTCACCCAAACCAGTCCTCAGTTGTTGAAGGCCTCTTGGTGATGTCAATTAACTATTACCTGAATACTATCACATGTGATGAGGCTCGGATAATCCTTCGAGTAAGGGACTCATCCCTACAACGGTTAAGACTCAAACAAGAGCTACGCAATAGGGTCAAATCCAACACTCTGAGTTTATACGACCCTGATCACATGTGACTTTAGTGTATTCACCTAACAGTTAACTCCCATCACTTCAAGGCCCACATAGCACCAAGCAAACAACATTTGGACATAAGGAAAATAATCTCAAGCCACTCTATCCTCGCCGAGAGCACTAAACTAGCATACAATGCTAAACTCGTACTATTAGGAATAACCTAAACAGGCTACCCTACTGCTGTCTACTCAAACCTAGCATGGAATTCTTTCATATACTTAAGCACATAAAGCAGGAACATAAGGTCATCACTCCTAGATCCTTATTCCTATTCTAGCATGCTGTTCTACAAAAGCTGATAAACATAACATAAACTTGTATGGGTATTTTGGGGAATACTTACTTGAGCTCGGCCAGTTGCGCACATCACACACATTATTCTTTCTTAAAACCCTTTACTTAAACCTTTTAGAAACATTTTCTCCTTCCAAAATCTTTTAATCCCTCGATTTGAGTTCAAACACCCCCAAAGGTGTGTCCGAATCCCTCAAACCAGGGCTTTGATACCAACTTGTAACGCCCCAAAATTTACCGGTTAAAAATTTCATTTTTAATTTAGATAAAAACGTAAAATATCATTACAAACATTCATGATAAAAATCCATGTCTGAAAAACCGGTGACATCATAATCAGAATTCAGAGTACATCCCAGAAAATTTGTAATGCGGAAACAAAAGGCGTATGTGTGATATGCTGCTACCACGCCGGCTCCTTTCCCCTAGCTGAAGAGGTACCTGAAATCAAAACTGCAAACCATAAGCACAAAGCTTAGTGAGTTCCCCCATAATACCGCATACCATGCAACCATATAACAAACAACATTCAACTATGAGATACGGGCCCTGCCCACACTCGTGAAGATACGGGCCCTGCCCACACTTTGCTATCTGGGAGATACGGGCCACGCCCAAACTCGTGGAGATACGGGCCCTGCCCACACTTCACTATCTGGGAGATACGGGCCTAGCCCACACTCCATTCTCGGAGAGATACGGGCCTAGCCCACACTCAACCGCCAACTCATATCATACAAGTATCACACAGACAACAAGTATAGACAGCTCTATCATACTAACATATATTGTAATCACTCAATTAAGAGATACGGGCTCGGCCCGCACTCTAATACTAACGTCTCGTCTATACGGGCCGGCCTTGGTGCCTTAGACCCGTTACTACTGAAAGGAAACTCACCTTGAAATGGCTGCTGGTGTGTGTAGGAACCGACTATCTGCTACTGCTGCTACTCCGGAAATCCTCTGGCTGTAATTCCCACACATACTCAATCAATCACTATTTACTGCCTTTTTGGGTGACATGACCCTTTTACCCCCGCCCGACCATGCCCTAAGTCAAAGTCAGAGTCAACTTCCAATTGACCCGAATCGCCGAGTTGGCTATCCAACTCGTCGAGTCCATGTCCAAACGATTATCCAGGGTTCTGTTCCTACTCATCGAGTTAGGCGTTGACTCCACGATTTTTCCATCCAAACTGATGTTCAAGTCCATCATCCTACTCGCCGAGTTGTATGAACAACTCGTCGAGTTCATCTTCATCCGATGAACACTCATGCTTAGACTCGCCGAGTTGTATGAACAACTCGCCGAGTCTGTTCTTGATCTATGAAGATTGCCTTGGACTCGCCGAGCCAGGCCATGACTCGCCGAGTCCTACCATGGGTGAGTTCAACTCCTAACTCACCGAGTCACACCCTGTGACTCACTGCTCAAAATCGATACAGCAAAAAGGGGACAACTCGAAGACTCGCGAGCAGACTCGCCGAGTCACATGAACGCCTCGCCGAGTCGTTGCCATGTACCCATTAATTACACCAATTTGTTCGATTCCAGTCCATGCCATTCACAGATCTGGGAATCTAGGACACGAATCACACGTAAAGTTTCCAACTTTACGTGTAGATATTCACCAATATGGATTTTAGGGTTCAAAATGCCTCAAAAGGGTAGATCTAGGGTGAACAAGCCACATGGGTCCATAAAGCTAACAGATCTGAGCTCCTGGAGCTCAATCTTGCCTAGATCTAGAGGCCAAACAACTTATTACGAAACATTATGCACATACTAGCTTGGGGAATGGCTAAAGAATGTCTTAAATGAACCCTTAAGCATAGAAACAGGGGGAAAATGGGGTATACCTCAATGAAACTGCTGAAAGAACACAATGATGCTTGGATGGCTCTCCTTCCTCTTGATCTACTTCTCCTTCTTGCCTCAAAGCCTTCAAGAACACACACAATAGCCTCAAACTCTCAAGGAACAAGCTTAGAACGAGGGTTGGGAGCTCTAGGGGTGAATGGGGGCTGGCATGGGGCGAATATGAGGTTTATATAGGGTGCAAACCCCTGAAACTTAGGGTTTCATCCAACAACGGTGACTCGCCGAGTCCAGGATATGGAATCGCCGAGTCGCCAACTTAAATGTGTCCCGATTCTCGTCCCTACTCGGCGAGTCGGACCTATGACTCGCCGAATCCACGGCTTAAAAAAATAAAAATACTCAATTAAGATTTACATACCAGGAACTAGGCGCTACAGTTTTGACATCCCCATATGAAGCCTCACCAACCTTCGCGTCACCAACCTTCTTGTCTCCTCCTTGCACCCTTGTGCTAACAGGTGGGACATCCGTTGGTAGAAGGTTTGAGATCCTGGACAAAGGATCCAACTATTTATGCAACACAACTTCGAATTGAGAAAACTTCAGAGATAAGAATTTTGGGGTAATAATCGAAGATGAAGTAGGCTTGACCACAAAGTCTTTCAACTCCTTTAACAATGAAATGACCTCCACAAAATTTTGACTATCACTTGTAGAAATTTGAGTAATTTGAGGACTCAAACTTTCGTACATTTTAACATACTTTGTGACAACATCACAAATAATATCCACCTTCTTATGTAGAGCTGCATAGTCTTGTTGAACACTAGCAATCTCTTTTTACATATCGTCAAGAAGCTCTTGAAGCTTAAAATTCTCATCTTCTATAACCTTCTTCACATCAAGACTAAACAGAGTATGTCGCTCTTTTGCAACTTGTTTTAATTCTTTCACTGCCCCCATAAACTTTGAAGCCTGAGAGTTCACACCTAACTCATTATTCTGATCAGAATGGTCCACCTTTTCCAAAAGTTGAGATTCTGAATCTTTAATCATTCCAGAAACTTTACTAACCATCCTGGATTAGAATGTCTTTAACATCCCCTCAATTTCCAAACTTGAAACAGACTGACTTCCCCCCATATCAACTTGAGATTGAGTGACTGAATTTAACTTTTTATTCATAATCTTAAACTGCTTCATCGACATTAGCATGTGATCAGGAAAATTTTCTTCTTCCTCATCAAATTCAAGGTCTGTGAACATACAACCAAATTCTGTGTCTTCATTTTCAGATTCTTCACTATGAGTGGGTGGCTCATCCGATTTTGGTGGATCAGTGAATTGGGAAGAAAACAATGTAGTGAATGGTTGATTAAGTATTTGAGTGAAAGTGCGTGAATAGGTGATAGATGGATTGGGAATTATATATAATGGTGATGAAACGATGGTATTGGTGACATTGTTAATGGGAAAGATAACAAGAGTACCTTGAGTAGATTTTGGAGCTTCTTGATTCAAATCTCCTTAACCCATATTAACATTTACATCCATATTAAATATGTTTGTAGTGATGTCTGAATTTCGAACCTCCTCATTAAATGACTTGGCTAACGAAACTTCGGGTGGCATGACAATTTTCTTCTCAGGAGATGAAATTTCTTTTGTAAGAGTTGCTTCAGATGTTTCATGAATAACTTCGTCTCGAGAAGATTATTCTTGAATAACCAGCTTTCTTGCCTTCATCATCTTCTT